GCATATAGTATTCCTGCAATGATCTCTCAAATGCCATCAGCATACGTGGGGTCATGGAAAAGCAGCAGGGACCGTATCCGGAAGAAAGATGTTTTGCACTGTGAAAAAGGGAGCAGGAACAAGATGCCCAGGTCCCACCAGCCTGCTGGGAATTACACCATCACCCTTGCAAGACCCTTCTGCACCCCTGGGTGAGCAAGGGGAGTCATCTCCATACACACTTTTCACAGCACTAAGGAACCAGCTCATCGGTGTGACACTGCCCTCTCCTGAGCAGAAGGAACTCCTCAGCTTCACACCAAGCTCCAGCACAGCAGCCCTGGGGAGGATCACCCTAAGACTTCAGTCCTGGGTGAGAAAACACCCTGTTCCAACAGGAGAAACCATGAGACACCACTCACCCCGCAGCCAGGACCACCAATGAAGCCTAAAGCAGATGTCAGCTCCTCACACCAACACCACTTAACTGTTTTCCTGCATGAGAAGGAAATACCAAAGCCACCTCTTCCCCCACCCCCTGAACCTCCTCAGAACATAGTTATCAGCTGCAGCAGTTTAATGAAGCCTCATTAAGGCAGCAGCCCAGGAGCTGCCAGGTGAAACCCATCATTTCAGCTCACTATCAGCAAGGAGGTGCAAAGCAACTCCTTAAAGCTCTTTCAGGAAAGAGCACAGGTCCCCCCCCCCCCCCCCCCCCCCCACTTTTTTTTTCTCAAAAGGAGTTTCAAAGCAGCATGGCAGGCTCTGCATTCCCAGAAGGTGAGAAACACTTGCAGCAACATATAATTTCCAACCATATAGATTTGGCCACACACATCCACCCCAGCAGGATGGGAGCTGCCTGGCACGTGTCTCAGGTGCAGGGCTGGGACAGAGTCTTCTCCGAGGCTGAAATCATCTCCAAGCTGAGATCCTACCCCTCTATTTTCACCCTTGGGAAGACTCGCAAAGCGAGTTAAAAGGATGATATTCCCTGCAGGTGTGTCTGTGAAAAGGGGACCCAGATCTAGCTTCCACCACCTGTGAGCTCCAAAGTACCTCCAAGCAAACCACAGTGGGTGTGAATAAGCCAGATCTTGACCTCCATCTGTGACAGCATTTGCAACCATGGCTTACTGTAACCTGAACAGCAGCACGTTAAAATTGCCATAGTGTTTCACAGCGACTAACACCAACATCAGTGGTTTTAGGGCTTTCTTTTTCTAGTGAGATCCAATGTGCATGGCACTTTCTAGAAAAAAAGTGCAAGACACGACCCCTGGCCCTTGCAGCCGGTTCATTATAATCTTCCTGGGTCATAAGAGCAATTTGTTTCCCAGCTAAAATTAAAACCTTTATCATTCATTCCAAGCCAGAAGCTCCCGCAAACGACAATCCCACATCAAATAATCAATGGGACCAGAACTCATTTCCTTTGTGCTATTCACTGTCGAGGCGCAAGACAAACAGCAGTCAGGTTTTGCCTTCCAGTACAGAATTCATTGCAGGGTAACGTGCAAAACATGCTTATTTAATAGAAAAAAGTACAGCTTGACAGAGACACCCACTCTAAAATTAACTCTGCCTCAAAGCAGAGCTTATATCCCCCGCTGAAGCAGTGCCTTCTAAATTGCAAAGAAGTACTCTGCAGCTGAGTGCTGTTTGAGTAGTGGTTTGAAGATGCTTCAAGTCTCGACAGAGGAAAATATGTTAAAATAGCAGCCTTTAAGGCTGCTCAGGTAGACAAAGGCTGTATAATGTATTAGTGACTGCTCTCCCCAGCAGTTTGGTGGCCAGCGAACACGGACGCGCCAGACAAAACGCAAGGCAGGAAGTCCATTTACTTCAGCTTTTCCCCCAGCCACACCTGCCAAGCGCAAGCTAGCAATTTGTAAGAAGGAAAGAAGGAAGGAGACATTTATTCGTGTGTGATCCAAACCAAAAGGGGGAAGAGAAAGGAAAAAAGAAAAAAAAAAAAGGCTCTTGAAGAACGAGCGAAAAGGCTAACTTTTAAATTTCCTGGCAGTCGTGCGAGCACCCAGAGGGGAGAGCGCGGTCTGAGCGGCGTATTCGGGTTTAATGCGCTCTCCCCACCGCGTAACTTCCTAATGCAGAAACAACCTTCTGGGGCTTACTGAATGAGCGCTCATTTTCCTTCACACGGGGAGGAAGTGCCAACAAAGAGAAACCTCATTCTTTTTCTTTCTTTTTTTTTTTTTTAATTTTGCATGCAGCATTGTCATGACTATTCCCATCATACAGCCATAATCCCTTTCCAGCCCCAAAATAACCTTTGAGCCAGCATGATTACAAAGAGCAACTGTAGCTGTACAAACCCACCCCGAAAAAACAAAGTAGGGTGAGCTTGAAGAAGCCAGGTTTTTTTCCGGCTGAGGAATCACCGTTTCCATCTGGCCGGAGTACGATTCTGTAGCTCCGGCATCGGGAATTGCTACAACAGACCGTTTCCAGCAGAAGGCTCACATTTCGGCTGCAACTCTTAAAAAACGCCTAGTTTTCGAGGCGCTGAATATACGGGGCTGGAGCGGACTTGGGAGAGAGCATCAGTGCGACAGCAGTGAGGGGTTTGGCAGCGGGGCGGGGGGGGGGGATTTCCCTCTCCCCTTTCTTGAATTTCTTCTCTTTCCCAATGATTTCTCTGCCGAGCGTCAAGGACAAAATAAGACCCTCTACGTTCACCCTCTCCCAGCCTGTCTTCTCACTGCTGGTGAGAAACACAAGGTGCTTAAGGCAAATAGCAGCTTGCTCCTGGGGGACATCACCAGGAGCCCAGCGTCCCTACCTCCACCTCCGAGCGGGTCCCCGAGGCACCGCGAAGGGCTCGGGTGCTGGACGGGCACCGGGTGGCCTGGGCAAGGGAAGGCAAGTTTAAATCCCTCCTGGGATTTCGCTGCCTCGGGGTTTTAAGGAGCCACGCAAGCCCAGCCTAAAGCCTTGGCGCAGCGGGGTGCTGCGG